TCCCCGTGGCAGGAGAGCTTATTGCTTCCCTCTCATATACTAGAGGTAGTTGCTTCTCTTCCATATGCGAGGAGCAGCCTGCCTCTCGGCAAGCCAGCAGGAGACGAGATGGGAGGAGGGAATTAAATGAAGTCCATTATTCTCTAGTGAAAGGGAAATGGAAGGGAAAGGTTTCGGTGGTGGGTCCTAGGGGTGGCGCAGCAGGGAGGTAAGGGTCTTTCTTGTCTTATTCGATCATGGTCAATTGGGTTCATGTGTATCTATCTGTATATATGGACGTAGATACAACAAGAGGGGCCTTTCTTTTGATATGGCATCATTCATTAAACCTTCAGGCTCTAAGTGGAACCTAATGAACGAAATTGGGATTGCTGAATTATGATGGGTAAAAGGAATCTTTTGAAATTGGGAGTATGCACATGCGTATGACATTAGTAATGGGTTAGTTTTAAGCAAAACTAGTTACAGTATGTTACCCAAGTATTCTGATGACATGGGTTCATCATGATTAGTGAATAATGGGAGCAAAGGTATGTGTATTGTCCGGGGAGAGCAACCATCGATTCTTGGATGGTGGGTACTTCAATCCAATCTACTTGTGAGGTGAGTGTAAATAGTGTAAATTCTACGCCTTACGGTTTTTCAAGTATTTGCTTTGAGTATTTTTAAGTATTGATTTACTTGATGTGCGTGCAGTATTTGATTCATGTTTGATATTGCATAATTATGTTTGATGATATGTGCGATGGTTGAGCTGTGATGTGAAGTGAATTGTGGATGAGTTTATTTCCTTACTTGAAGCTTGATGTCTATGAGTTAGTGTTAAAGTTAAGAAACAAGTTCTTTTTAAAAAGTAACTCACCTTCAAGAAGGTGAAGTCGTTTTAAGTGTTTTTAGTCACTAGCGCCAGTCCGTTGCCTTTTGAGACAGTTTGAGATAGAGCAGCAGTTATGCTCTTGAGACCTTTAAGATGGGCAGCAGTTATGCCCTTGAGAATCGTGGTGAAGAGCCACCACGATAAGTTTAAGATGTTAGGGGGATGAATCGTTACGACTTCCCTAACTAAGTTTAAGTTTAAGGAAAACCTGGATGGCTTCTCATACGTATGAGTTGGCAACCGGACTAGCTAGTGAGGGATCCCCGTGCCAGTCAAAAGAATTAAGTCAAGTTTTTGAGCTTTAAGAAGGGAGAGTAACTTTAACTCTCGGAGAATTTTTGAGTTATAATTGTTAAGAGTGGAAGTACAAAACAACTTCCACTAGTAGAAGTTAAGTGTTTAGAGAAGAATACTAAAGTACTATAGATTTTATCGTAAGGGCGTAGACTGACCCCATCTCACTCACAAGTTTGAAGAGGACTAAGAGGAGTTAGAGAGCAGCGAGTTCGAGAGGAGCTGTTCGAGGGCAGCCAGCTAGAGGAGGGAAGTACAAGCGCCACTGAGGATGTCTGGTCAAGGCTTTCGGGAAGCAGTAGCATTAGAGACTTTTTAGTTGCTTCAGTTTATGATTATGAGTATAGGCTGGAGATCATTTTGAGATTTTAAAGTTTTAGTTTGCCCAAGTGTCAAGCTTTGTGTTTTAGTCATGACAGTTGTTTCGGTATTTATTAAAGTTATTTATGAAATGTTTCCGCTATTTTTCTAAGTATTTTCAGTTCTATTTTATTCCACGGTTTATTGAGGGTATTTTGGTAAAATTAGTACCCGGCCGGGTTAGGGTGTTTCAGGATTCGAGTGAGTTCGGCTCTAGGGCACTATGGTGGGTTGGTGCATAGGTGGAACTACTAGGTTAGGGCCTATATTTTGGGTAGGGTTTGGTTCTAGTCATTTCGGAGTGAAGCTGTGAAAGTGAGGCGTTATTTGGGCATTTAGAATTATCTCATGTAGGGATGGCAATGAGTTGGTTTGGTTTGGGTCGGGTTTTTCCAAACCAAAATACATGGGTTTATCCGTCAAAGAAATTCATGGTCAACCCAATGGGTTTGGGAAATTCTAACCCAACCCACTGGGTATTGTCACGGCCTTCTCTCGATCGTGCGGCCTTAGCTCTCAATTACGTTAGAGAACTAAGCAGCCTTCTCTCAAACTCACAAGCAAGCAAAGGAAGCAAGACAAAGACAAAGGATATGGAAGAACTCTCTAGTGTGTATCACTCTAAAAAAATGTGGAATGAGTTACAAGTGAGGGAAATGGCTCCTTATATAGGCCTCTCCTCATACAAGGCATCAATGTCCCTCTCCATTACTACACCCTATTAATTTCTTTCATTGTGCACTCTACAAATGTCACCCATTATGTGACTCATAAGTGCACCATTAAGTTCTCATTTAGGTGGAGAATCCTAGGAGCATCTCTATGCTACTAGTATTCCATACACGCCACATGTGCAACCGCCATGTTGTCACCTTGTTGGCACCATGTCATCTGCCACATGTGACAGTATCCCCGGGTTTATGGATACCCATGAGTTCTGTGGTAAAAAATGCACATTAACAAGTTCTTGTCAAAATAAAAGTCTAACATAAATCTTCCCATGCAAATTATCCATAGAAAAAAATACAAATCTAGAACATTCAAGCAAACCCAAATAATCTATATAAATTGTTCAACATGAAAGATAAACATTCATAAACAACATGATTAATTGAAAGTTCTCTCTCCTTGAGAACTTGAACATTGTCATCTTAGCTTCACTCTCCAAAACAAACAAAACCAGTAGTGGATAACGATTGAAAATTTGGAACTATATACTTATTTATCAACCACAGTATTTCACGTTGTATTACCTTGCCACGTGGGTTCTTCAATACCAGACACAGCAGGAATGAACAATCTCATCTTCCAAATTCAACCAAAACACAATTACATTGCCACTCCTGACATGCTTTTTAATATATTGTTATTGTGGGGATGTGTGATGGCAAAAGGATATAATAGGTAAGCCTACTCTTTCAGGTTAGTACTTTAGCAATGAGTCTAGGACGAATTGAATTGGTCGATTCTTTAAACCAAAATATATCCAGAGAAAATATTGCAAGGATCTTGAAGACAAACTATAAAATCACATGAATGAGGGCATCCATACTAAACAAACCTTCTTTTGCCGTTGAAATAACTTTCCGTCATGAAAAAATTGATTATTTGAGTGTGAGCAATTATCCATGGGCAGGTATAAACAAACCCAAACCTAATCTGGTGAACAGTGTAACGTGTTGAAATGCGAACCCGATCCAACCTGATCAACGCGGATATTGGGTTCATGTTTTGTTGTCATCCCTAGTCTCATGTATGTCGTTCGAACTAGAAGAGAGAAAATAAAGGGGTTTCCCCTTAGTATTTGATTGAGAAGAATGGAAGGACATGAATGTTGAAGGGGATTCGGGTGGGCTAGAGTTAAGGTAGGTCAGGTAGATATTGTGTTAGATCGGGATTCGAGTGAGTTGGGCTCTGGGGTACTATGGTGGGTTGGGGCAATAGGGGAAACTACTGGGTTAGGGCCTATATTTCGGGTAGGGTTTGGTTCTAGTCATTTCGGATTTGGTTAGCGATTTCTCTAAAACCTCGAAAAACGACACTAAAAAGGTGGATGGCCTTCAGTGTAAGAGGAATAGTAGTAAACGGTTAGTCAGTTATCGATTTTAACCGGTAACAAAATTGATAACGACCATTAGTGGTTAACCGATAACCGAATAATTTCTTAAAGGGTCGATTTCAGTTAGCTGTATTTTGCTTAGTAGTTAACTGCTAACTGAATGGATAAGAAAATCGATAACATCCTACTATTATAACAACATAGTTTTGGCATTTGTCTAAGGGAAAATGTCCTAATATTCAATCAGATGGACATGTTTGATAAAAGTGCAAAGTACAAGGGTTAAGGGTATGTTTGTGGATGATGATTATTTTGTGGTGCTTGTGTTTGGTGTCTTGGTAGTTGGTACTCGCTAATTGGATTTTAGTGTTACACATTACACGATACAAAATTTCAAAATAAAAAATGACACATGTAGCAATTAACTTCCAAACTAACCACTAACCGAACAAATAACATGCAATTAACTAATAAATCTTTTATATTCGATAATCAATATGCATTTTCTACCTATAGATGTTTAGTGGTTGACTGAAATCGAGTAAATTAGTGAAAAAATCTCAAAATACACATGTTTTTAAAAAAATTCCCAAAATACACACGTTTGATGAAGAATTCCCAATCTACACATGTTTGGGCATCACTGCGGCTGCCAATAGCAGTGAATGCATTCACTGCGGCAGACGAAAGTGGTGATGCATCACCGCGGTTGTCGGTCGTGGTGAAGGCCTGACCCAAGGCTGAAACTTCAAACAAACGTAATTTTGTGCTCTGTTATCCAATCATAGAGAAATCTTTTTTATTCCACCTAACATTTCAAGATCTTTCAATGAGCAACTTGCCTTCATAAAAAAAATGTCGTTTGCTACCCCGAACGAGCAATTTTTCGATTTTGTCAAACTTTGGAAGGCCATAAATTTGTGCTCCTCCATCCGAATGTCATAAAAAAATTTTCTTACGCATAACATTTTAAGAACTACAAATTTTACTAGGAAAGAATTTTCAAAACAAGAAATATTTTTTGGTATACGGGATTTTGTGAATAACTCTGCCTTAAATTTCCACAAATTCACATACATTCCAAAACAATGGTTATGATCAAAGTTGTAGTCCTTAAAAAGTTATGCGTATTCAAAAAAAGTTTCATGAAATTCGGATTGCAAATGTACGTTTGTTTAAAGTTTCAACTTTTGGTCAGGTTTTCACCGCGACTGACATTCACTGGTTTCATATGCCACAGTGATGGATAGAATTAGAATTTTTCATAAAACGTGTGTATTTTGAGAATTCTTTTTTAAACACGTGTATTTTGAGATTTTTTCGTAGATGAAGACATAGAGCTCGTGGCAAGTGCTCATTTGCCTTTCAAGCTGTTGACTATAGACAAGATGCCAAACAACATGGGTTCGTTTAGCTGCCTCTCCCGACGCTTACCTGGCTGTTACTGTGTTGCAAGGGACCCATTGTATTGTGACGTGGCTGTTCATAGGTCCAGTTATCCTACAGCCACACAATCACAGTCACACTTTTGACTCTACGTGTCGCAATCTAAACGGATAATTCCCACAAAACATAAAAACAAAAATCAAGTTCTGCTGGATAATCCCTCCTTCCTTCCCAACCTCACTTCCCCCTTCCCACCCAATTTTCCTCTCCGCCTGGAAAAACAAAGAACCGAAACGAGGAACGGGAAGACGGAAAAATGCAATCCACCAGGAGCTGAGTACAGAGATTTATCAGCTTGCTCCCAATTTCCATCTGAAATCCCTGCCGTCTCCAGCCCTTCTTCGCTGCTTTTGTTGCAAGCTGGTACGCAGAAATTAGCAGTGAAAAACATGGCGGCGCTCACTTCAGTCTCCTTCTCGCCGGCGATGGGTCACTCTTCCGCTGACGGAAGGTCTTCCTCCTCTTCGTCTTCTTCCTCCGCCCGCTCTCTAGCTTTCTCCACCTGCGAAGCCTTCCGTTTCCGAACTTCCCCTTCTGCTCGCGTTCGTGGCTCTACCTCGTCGACATCGGGCTTCGTCATCCGTTGCATGTCCGTTTCTACAGGTAATTCTCAAATTTTCTGCTACCAGTGCTTTTATTGGTATCTGGGCTTGAATTAGAATGGAGATTCTAGAGATCAAAATTGGTGTGCTATTATGCAATGTTCACTGAAATTGATACGAATTGAATTAATTAGTTCCTCTTGATAAATTGATTAGGTTAAATTCTCGGCATTATGCCTCCTTGTCTCGGAATATGATTGAATTTGAAAAAGTTCAATGTTGAGAGTTCTGCTTGCTAGAAAGTCCAATGATATGTGCCGCCTAGAATGCCCGTTTCGTTGATTCCGTGGCTTTATTGATATCTCAGATTTGCCTACTGTGGCCGAAACCAAGTTGAATTTTCTCAAAGCGTACAAGAAACCAATCCCTAGCATCTACAACAATGTCCTCCAGGAACTTATCGTGCAGCAGCATTTGATTAAGTACAAGAAGACATACTGTTATGACCCTGTATTTGCCCTAGGGTTTGTTACTGTCTATGATCAGCTCATGGAAGGATACCCGAGCGACGAGGATCGCGAAATCATTTTCCAAGCATACATTAGGGCCTTGCAAGAGGAGCCAGAACAATACAGGTTCTTGTTCCTCGTACTTTCGATGTTGTTTCAAGTTTTATGAAGTTGTGGGTTCATAATTCATCGCTTGTGCATTCTGAAGTATAGAAATGATGCCAAGAAGCTCGAGGAGTGGGCAAGGACTCAGACACCCACTTCACTGGTCGAGTTCCCTTCGAGAGAAGGTGAAGTCGAGAGCACGTTGAAAGATATTGCAGAAAGAGCTGGCGCCGGGAATTTCAGCTACAGCCGTTTCTTTGCTGTTGGTCTTTTCCGCCTGCTCGAGCTTTCCAATGCCACTGAACCCACTGTCTTGGATAAGGTCAGTAGATCTACAATTCCTTTGACAGGTTGGAGATTGTTTGCTAAATTAACTTTCAGTGGAGACCTTCGTTGTTGTTTCAGAAATGAGTTCTTTCTTTCGTTTCTCGATTAATCTATCATCAGCTCAAGTTTTGGATATTCTTGGTCCATATTTTCTGTGGTAGTTTGTCCTTCTCATGTTTCCAACTTAACCTTCAAGCCATAGAAGAGTTTCCTCAATACTTAAACCCAGAACCCCATGCAACAGCTTTGTGCAGCGCTAAACGTGAACAAGAGGAGCGTGGACCGGGATCTTGATGTATACCGCAACCTGCTCTCCAAACTTGTTCAGGCAAAGGAGCTACTCAAGGAATATGTGGAGAGGTATTGAATAATAAAAGCATAGAAAACTAATTGAATTCCCTCTTCCAGATGAAGTGAGTGCACATTTGAGTCTGATATGGATTCACTAACACTGCATTTTTTCTTTTATGACCAGGGAGAAGAAGAAGCAAGCAGAACGAACAGTTTCGCAGAAGGCTAGCGAGGCTGTGAAGAACTGTTTGGGACAGCCTACCTACGTAGGGCAGCTGTAGACCTAACTGAGTAAAATGGCTCCACAACGGTTATTTATAATTCCTTCCTCTTTAAGTTGAGGTTAGAGTTGAATTGTGGGTTCTTCACAGCTTCGGAACTGGTCTTCGTTGCAAATATTGTGGGCTTGCAATATTCAGATCAGTTCTGTTTCCTGTGGGAAATGGATGAATATAGAAATCACCACCCTCTCTATCTTGTTCATAGTTTGTCTTCCTTTTTTGCTGTTCCAACTCTATACACAGAGTGTAAGTACTTAAAATTCAATTGTTCTAATAAATTGACTCTCTCCTCTCCTTCACTTGTTTTGTTACATTTGAACCTCTTTTAAGAAGTGAACAATTTTAACAATCATTTTCCATTATATACCATAAACAATAGAAATTTGCAATAATGTATTAAGGATGGCGAAAAAGACCCAATTTTGGGTTCGGACTGACTTGTAGTTTGGATATATGGATACTCGATTTTAGTGCAATTTTTTTACTTATTTTTTGTTGCAAACCAAAAATATGATGGAGACACCAACATGCAACATTATATAAGTAATTGGGTTGAAAGTAGTTAATGAGATTATTGATAATGTCATTTTGTGTGTACAATAATTTGGATCCAAGCAGATCCAATTGAATCGAATCCAAATGAGTTTATTCAAATTACACAAAATTCAAACCCCAACAGTCCAACACAAACCAAAATCTATTGAAAATGCATATAGGTCATTTGGATACGATACAATATTGATATGAATCATGACTCCAAATGAGTTGATTCAAATTACACAAAATTCAAACCCCAACAGTCCAACACAAACCAAAATCTATTGAAAATGCATATGGGTCATTTGGATACGACACAATATTGATATGAATCATAACAATTATGTCACATTACCAAAGGAAGTCGATGCATTGTCATGCTAGTACATCTTTCATTGCAAGACAAATATTAGTTGCTCCATCCAAGAATATTAATATGGGCTTATGTTACTCATATCAACAACATGAAGTAGTATTAATGCATTGTTTTGTTTTGATGTAGACATTGGCCATTTTTGATTGACGAATCGAGTAGATAGATTGCAACTTCTAAACTCACCTTTTTTTACGTGAAAAAATGACCCACATAAAACATGACGCCCATCCCATTAATCGATCAAACAACCCGACCCAATCTGTTAAAAACGTGAGTGAATGGTGCGTGACTCTATGTGCAACCCACACCTGATCTGGCCTGTGCGCCTCAGGGAATTTTCCAGCACCCACCCAATTACCACTCCAAATCACAAGTTACAAAAGCCTACTTTTAGTCCGTGCCAAATCAACCTAGAGACAGAAGGGAAAAAAAAGGGGGAAAGAACGTTTAACTAAGATGGGAAATGTCAAACTCATCTGGCATTTTGAACGTATCAGCAGCACCAAACTTCCTGAACTCTTCCCCCTGTACTGAATCCTCCTCATCGCTATCGCGGTCCTCTTCATCATGAGCATGGTGACTCGGTGTCGATGGATCGCTCATACTCCTCGATCGGCAGTCATTCGTGGCAAGTATATTCACCTGACCTAGGTGTGAGATCTCCACTACAACGGTGTCGTCATCCACTGGCAAGGGTTGCTTCCAGGGCTCCCCGTCGATCCTCATGAACGTGTGATCTGCTGCACCTTTGTGGAACTCGAACCGGATTCTATGTGCCTGTGCGAGGCGAGTCCCGTGTCCTTTAGGTGCAAGAAGGACGAGGCCATGCCATGCGTCTCTAAAACCCACAACCTCAATACGCCCATCATCCACAAAGGGTGCAGTTAAGTCTCTCTGCAACCAAAATATTAACATATTTTTTGTTCATTGGTTATGGACTGCAATGCTGGATGGGGGAAGGAAAAGCAGAAGTTCACTGAGGAATGCAAACGTCCGGAGTTAAAGGAGAATGAAGTGCTTACATCACGGCGTTTCCAAGTACTTGGTGTTCCCCAAGGGTTTAGCCCGCCAGAAAAGCTGGGCAAGTTGAGGCACACTATTGACCGTATCCTGTGGACCAGAAAAAAGGGAAATGAAGTCAATGATATGTGTTCTTCTTAATCAGAAGGAAATCTGTTAGAAGAGAAGCAGAAATCTTGCCCATTCGATATGCTTAGATCTTCCCAATGCCCTAGTCTTTTCATGACCTTCACCTTTGCCAGGCTAGCTATTCTGCAGTAGAATATAGATGATGTCAAATGTCATGAAATTGTTCAGCAGTATGCATTCCTATGAAGAAACTGCATCAGACACTTTGACACCATCTTATTCAAACAAGACAAATTAAGACAGAAGGGGAAAAGCAAAAAATTACCCCACCTTGAGTCGGATTGAAAAACAGAAGCGCAAAACCACCCTTGTGTGCAACCAAGCTTGGCATAGGTACTCTGGTCAGAGAGACAGGAGAGAGAACAAAGGCAACTAGTTAGAAACATAATAAGCACTAAGCAGCATTTGATGCATATAGTGTAATGGCAGTATTGATGTCTGAGAACTATCCAAATGGGATGTGGCTCGACAGACGACTAAAGAATAGTTGTGATTTTCAATGTGTTAATCTACTCAGATTGCGTACTCAAATAGCCTCCGAAACAAAGAATGGAGGAGAAACAATCATTCAAATAACATGAAGATACCTGATTGGTCAGCTGGTTCTTGAATTTTTCAGGATGCAATTTCCTCTCAGAATGAAATGCATAAGATACTTGAGCATCCATGCCTGCATAAACGAAATATGTAGTTGTTCCGTCAAATAGTCACAAGAAATGGAAAAGACCAAAGCTGATAGCAGGCTCCAAAAAGTAAGGTGAACTAGTAAAAAAATTTTCGTATTTTGAAGGTCTGACCGGGACCGTGGAAGGTTAAAACAGCAGGATGAAGCATACTTTCACTTTCTAACACAAGAAGTGATTATTTGTTCTAAGTTTTGGGAGGGATTTGGTTCGCTCCAAATATTAGAAATCATATCCTTCAACAAAGGAGCTACTCAAAATTGAGACGGATAAAGAAAGGAGGATGAGAAAAAAAGTGCTAACAACCGAAGGAGAGCACTATGTTCAGACAGGAACTCTTACCCAAGCTAAAGTAATTCCAGAACCCTCCACGAAATGTGGTATATCCTTCCTGAATGAAAGCACATGTTGTCAGTTTCAATCTATACCATCAAAGCAATCTAGATGCATGATGACGAAGCTAATAAGAACAAGAAAAAAAAAAACCAAGATATAAAGCACAGAGCAGATGCATGAACTCTGCCCATCATGAAATTAGATGCTTCTGTCAGGTTGTCAAAGTTTATCAGTATGTAGTGAGAGGACTTTGAAAAACCCAGTGGGTTGACAAGAAATTAGAATAGTTGAATTGTAATTCACAAAATCATGGAACAATTTGTGCAATAAGTATCAGTGATCTGGTTCGAATGATGCACACGAGTTTAAAAGAATTTTAGAAAGGAAATACTTCAACGACAAGTTAGTATACGGTCAAGCTTTAAACAGCAAGTTCCATGCTCTCGAGCAGTTACTTCTTAATTAGCAAGCTGTCGGGGATTCAAAATGTATTGAAAGTGACCATATAAGTGCAATATAAATTGTATTACCATGTTGAATTCGTCTGAAGAAGAGACACGGTGAACTGCATGCAGAGAATGTGGTAGCTCGAGAGGTGCAATAGGGTCACAAGAACCGTCTTTGGGGGTCTTCATTCTCATCAGAATGTGCCAGCTGAAAGAGTGAATTGCCGAAGTGAAGTAAGTACACATACAAAGCAGGATGAGAAATTAAAACTAAGCTATCCATAACATCAACTTAGGTGACAGCCTAAAGATCTACTGCATAATCCTGAAGATTGAACATTCGTGAAAGCATAATGTAGAAAGGTTATAAACTATCTACATGAAGCTATATCAAACATATGGGGAGAGGGGGAAACAAAGAAAGCCGAATATGTCATTCACTCACATAAAAGACCCTATTACCAACCCAAAAAACATAGATATTTGGGAAAACAATGCAAGAAGAAAAGGATAGAAAATAACAGAATCCAGCTAGCATCACATAGACAGAGGTGACAAAGAACTCACTTGTCTATTTTCATTTCCTTAGCTTTCATTACTTCCTTCAGAAAGGAAATTACAGATTGACGATCTGTCCCAGGATTCTTTTTCCCCTGCAAACAACAAACTGAACTTTTCAACATTGGAAAGGTTTATACGCCTTAACTATTCTTATATGCAGATAGCAGAGATCACAACTGCCCAGCTGGTTTAAATTTCAGGTATATAAAACGTGAACAGGCTGCATATATCAAGCAATCAACACTCCATCTCATAATAGATAAGCAACAAACTCATACCCAACCGAAAGCGAAAGGAAGGTTGTTCCCAGTTCCCAAAGGCACAGTTGCAATGGGAGGAGGATGAGGGAACTTGAGATCACAGACAACTCCAAGAAGCCAGCCAGCAGTTCCATCACCACCTGCAACCTAGCATCCCCAACAACAGAGATCATGAAACAAGCTCCCGGAATACACAAAACAGGAAGCAACAAATAAGAACTACCTGCCAATCGAACTCACAATTATTTTCAATTTCTCCTGAATCTTAGCAGCAAAATCGTCACCTCCAGACTTGAGCCTCTCAATATTCATATATATCCTCCGCAGCACTTTATCAGGGGTCTCTACCCCCAAATCGAAAACCTGAAATCGAGGAAATCAATCGCAACATCTTAAACAGAAAGAGAACAAAATTGCCACAGAGACGGACAGCTCTCGAGCTACAATCAAACCTGACTGTCATTGAGAACGGATCGATAGGTTACGAGAAGATCCCCGCCGAGCTGGCCGCCACTCTTGGAGTTGATGAACACCAAAACCGGACACTGCGGCACGTCGGGAACATTGACGGCCTCCGATTCGGGGACGAGTACATACGTAGGGATGTAGAATTCTTTAAGCAGACTCGAGTCGGCCTGTGAATCCACGGACGACGCTTCCATCTGCATTGCCAAATCGGAAACCAGAATTCTTAATATTCGTTCACCCGGAATTCAAACTTCTAATCCGGACTAAAACCATGCACAAAACAACACTGTTTCGGGCTCCTCAGCTTCCCGTTTCTGTTCAGCATTTAAGCAAACACATGGTGCTCATTACTGAAACGGAGGGTAGAGAAGCGACAATTCCAACCAGAAAAAAAAAAGAGAGAGAGGGATCGGGGAGGCTGGTTTACCTGTTTGCGAGAAAAGAGAGATCGAATTTGGGTGGAAATGGAAACCGAGAGTTTGTGGAGACGGTGAGTGACCGATAAATCGGATCCAGGGATCAAATTCCTACTATTAAACAGGAGACGGAGAACGTTACACGGAGTTTGGAAGCGGGTGGGATATTCATCGTTCGTCTCCCGAGTCAACGCGTCGCGTGAGAAGGGTAGATTACCTTAGGATCGGATCCTTGTGCCTGTAGGAAGGAATGATGAAGCAGCAGGAGGAGAGACGGAGCAGCTGACGTCGGATCTCACCTGGCGCGTCGCTGTAGCTGAGTAGTTGTCTGATTGATTCATCCTCCATTAAATCATGCTACTGTAGGAACTAGGAACTATCGAATGGATGGGAAGTGGGAACTAAAGGAATTAGGACATAATTTACCGTCCATTTAGTTTCTTATTTTAACTAGGTTCCCGGGTAATTTTGAAGGCGTGGATGATGAGTTCACACTTCAAACTATTGATTATTTATTAGAGAATGTTGGAAAGAAAATTTTAATTAATTAACTATATTTCTTGGTCGTTGCTGCTTTGGTTATAGGTTGAAATAGAGTTCTGCTTTGATTCTCTTATTCTTTCTCAAACCGAGTGATCCATGGATTGGAATCCTAATGCATATAGACTATAGATACAAATGGCCTAATTCCTCGATCCATACATTGTGGTTTTGATTTTTGAAAATACTAAATCCAAACAAAAAAACAACGTGAACAGTATCCTATATTAAATATGTTCAATATGCCAAAATATGTAAATTTTCTCACAAATATACTTGTATATAGCATAAATACGTTTTAGATACGAACACTTACGACAATAGTTATAGTACAATTTGGATTAGGTATTTATGAATTGTATAATCCAAAACCCGCACTTCGCACCAATCCGAAAAAGACGAATTTAACCAAAGAAAATTCTCTGACAACTTTGAACCTTAACTGAATTGTAGGGCTCGTTTGTGTCGTGGATTTGAAAAACCATGGATATATGAGGGTTTTAGGTTCATTGTGGATTTCATAAACACCATTGTTAGTTTGATGGATTTCATGATGGATTTTGTTAATTAAATTTGTATGTATGAAGTGTAATTTACCTTTATTGCCCTTAATTATATAAGAAGAGAAAGTAAATATGAAGAATATGTTTGTAAAAAATGATGGATTTCAAAGTTCATAATCAATTTCCAACTAAATAAGCTGAACTTAGAAGTTCGTAGGGTCCACGGATTTGGTCCACTTAAAGTTGTTCACTCCTCCTACGCGCTAGGATAGAGACGCTGAGGAAAGAGCGGGGTAGGTTTTTTTAGACCCTAGAAGAATCAATCCTCTTCGCTAGGCGGCCAACAGAGCGTCAGGAGAGGGAACAAAATTTCTAAATTCTCTATTCTTGAATCTTCTTAAATCAGATTCAAACTTTCAGGGGGAAGACGATGACGGACAGATCGCAGAGATGCAGGGGGAACGGAATCTCGAAATAGCAACAGTAAACTTCAATAAATTGATTCCATTAGTGAACGATAGTTTCTGAAAACTCTTACCTTGCGTCTGCAGCACGAAGGCGTTGTTCTCCCTCTGCTGCGTCGACCACCGTCTGTTGCTCCGTCTTCTACAGCTCTGTCGCCGAGAACTCGGGGCGGCGGCACAGAATTCCCCATTCTTTCGATTCGCAGGGGCGGCTCGAGTTTTGCTTGCTTCGCAGGCAAGATATGATACGGGATCTGAATTTGGCCCAAGCAATTTATGGTTGGTTTTTGTCTTTCTTGCTCTGTTGGGTTTTGGTCTTTTTTTTTTCCCTTTAATACAGTTTGGTCCAACTCGTGGGAGAGAGAATCGTGAAAGACAAAAGATTCGCCGCCCAATCAAACGCCATTTCCAGATTCAAATCCTCAAACGTGTCTGCTCTGCCTGCAGCCGGAGAATTTTCAAATTCTGCCATAAGTGCGTTCTGAAACTCCTATTAAACTTTGACCTTTTCTCTATGCCCGTCAAACCCTTCTTCACTGTGCTTTTTCAGGTAAGTTTGGGTCAATCAAAGTCTTCTATGGTCTTGGATCAGAGAAGACTAGCAGCATAGCAGGCAGGCGGTGAGAGAGAAAAATAGTGTAACTCAAGAACCTAAAAAATTGAACGACGTGTTATTCGTGCGACAGAAGAACCCGTCGGGAATCAATTTCGCTACGATTTCTGCAACTACCGTGATCTCTCTGTTCTCCGATGCTTTACATCAGTCAATTATTTGCTCGCTGGTATAGTCGGGTCTGATTATCCCTCTGCGGGCAGTATAAGTTAGGACGGCTCTCTAGCAGTTTCACCAATCTATCGCCGATTCATCTTGGTGGGATTTTATTGACGTTATTGGGTTTCAACTTTCAATGGTAAAAGTGGGTGAGTTTTCATCTTTCTCTCTGGCTGCCATGGTTTCTGTCGGGAGAAAAGGGATTAGTGTTGGAAGAAAAATGGGTACTTGATATGGCTACTGGGCTCGACACCACAGGCCCAAAATTAATGAAAGAAGATAGTTCATATTAATATCACAACCCACTTACATCATTCTGGCCTATACCACTGGGCTTCAGGCCCATTTTTTGTTTCTTCTATTTCTCCAACTTCATTCCCTTTTGTCTCTTCCCGTTATCAATTCCTTCCTATTGAGTAACTAGATTTGAGCCTACCCGTTGATCGAATGAACTATGTCACTGAAATAATAGTAATTATTAAAGGAAAATTAATTTTTATTTGATATCATAAAATAATTCAAATAATTCAATTATTGAAAATATAAAAAATGAATATATATATATATAGTATGTTTTCTGACATCTTAATCGTCCTTGGACGAAGTCCTCATCAAAAGTGAGAAACACAACACTCATGCATGGGTGCCCATTCCAAAAAAATTAGTGAACGGCTATTTGCCGCCAATCAAATTGCTATTTGCCGCCAACTAAAAAAAAAAAAAAGAATTCAAAATTTGAATTTTCTATTCCTTCCCAGTGCCTCCGTCGCCGGTAAAAAAAAAAAATTTTAATTTTGAATTTTCCCTTCCTTCCCAGTGCCTCCGTCGCCGGCACCGTTCTTCCGTCGTCGGCTAACCTCCCGTCGCCCTCAATCGTCGGAAAACAAGTAAGTTTACTTTTTCCGGCCAGTTTTCCAGTTTTCCGGTAAGTTTTCCAGTTTTCCGGCGAAAAACACGGCGGGCCGAAAAAAAATTGCGGCCCGAACGTCGCCGAGCCGAAAAAAATTTGTGGTCGGGACAACGGCCGGCCGAAAAATTCTTTCGGCCCGGCGACGCCACGGCCGCAAATTTTTTTCGGCCGGTCGCCGAACACGCCGGCCAAAAATTTTCCGGCGGCGTGTTCGTCGGCCGGCCGAAAAAAATTTGCGGTCGGGCCGAAAGAATTTTTTTCGGCCGGTCGCTGAACACGCCGGCCAAAAATTTTCCGGCGGCGTGTTCGTCGGCCGGCCGAAAAAAATTTGCGGCCGTGGCGTCGCCGGGCCGAAAGAATTTTTCGGCCGGCCGTCGTCCCGGCCACAAATTTTTTTCGGCTCGGCGACGTTCGGGCTGCAATTTTTTTTCGGCCCGCCGTGTTTTTCGCCGGAAAACTGGAAAACTTACCGGAAAACTGGCCGGAAAAAGTGAACTTACTTGTTTTCCGACGATTGAGGGCGACGGGAGGTTAGCCGACGACGGAAGAACGGTGCCGGCGACCGACGATTGACTTGCCTCGCGCCCGATCTTCGTCCAATCGACCCCGAACTCGCTAGAAATCCATAATGAAATTCATAACTTCATAATGACACTAGGGTCATTAAAAATACAACTAGAAAAACAACAACATATAAATAGAGCATTGCAACACGACACACGATTTACGTAGTTCACTAACACGAAGTATTTATAGTACTTCTCCATGTGGGTCTAAACCTAATCCAATATGACAAAGGAAACGGTTACAGACCAGGCCCAGAACCCGAACCCAAATAACATTGAGCCCATACACCGTGGGCCGGGGGCGTTGCCCCCGCACCCCCACCGGGGCGTTGCCCCTGGACCCCCGATTACCAGTCGTAGCGGCTGATAGTCCGATTCAAGTCACATCAACAAAGGGTTTAGGGTTTAGGGTTTGAAACACATGGTTCGTGTAGCACTTTGCCCACATTGTCTGATGGTTAGTGATGATTCATGGATGCGTGTACGCATTATATGTCGAGGATAGGCTTTCCCGATGATTTTCCGACGACTTTTCCGGCGAGCGTTGAATTTTTCTGATTCAATACGTTCTCTGAAAGTTGGATATGTTGTAGATTGTGAAACTCCTTAACCAAAGATGTATATATATACATTTTTTTTCATCGATGATTTTCCGGCGACTTTTCCGGCGAGCGTTGAATTTTTCTGATTAAATACGTTCTCTGAAAGTTGGATATGTTGTAGATTGTGAAACTCCTTAACCAAAGATGCATATATATACTTTTTTTTTTTTTGGTTGGCGGCAAATAGCAATTTGGTTGGCGGCAAATAGCAAGCCCCTAATATTATCAATGATTCACTCTTTCCTTCTATCATTGAAATTTCTATATGTACAATCAACAATGTCATCCTTCTTCTTAGCAACGTCACTATCTTCATCATCGAATTCATTACCTCCACCTTTAGCATACTTGGTTCTTTTGAGATCCAATTGGAGCACTCTTTTGCCAATTATATGATTCTTCATGATGAATATTTGTTGAAGCCATATAACCATTAAATATAGTATCCAATAATAATTAACTCAAATATTAAAATAATACTGAAATGGGTATAACATTAAAAAAATGTGTTACTATAAAAAAAAGTTTTAAGAAGAATAATCATCTCACTAATATATTTATCCTCTAAGAGCTTATGAGAACCAAGTAAACCAAAAGATGTGAAAGAATAAAAGGAAAGTGGTTAACCTACGATAATAGAAAACTATACATTACAAACCTAGCCCTTATGCGGTGTAATCTAAAAAATGTTTTCTACCAAAAAAAAAACGTTTCCTTAGCCGGAAACGAAACATAGTAAATTTTTTTTGTTAGATATTGTTTTCGGATTTTAAACCTATAAAAGAGAATAGTGACCTATCTTTCACCAATCTAAGGGAATACCCAATACCTAAAATTTTGAGAAATAAACTTACAATTTTATATCAATAAACCTCATACTCTTATTAACCCAGCCAACTTATCAATAATCATAAAAGCGTAAGATTGTTTTTGTTTCCTCGGGAAAACCAAATGCCACCGCCGGTGCCGAATTCGGTTTCCGGCGATGTTGATTTGATGTTTCGCGGTGGAAACTCTTGCAGTGCCGTTTGATCGAATGCACCGCTGATTGTTGAAATCGAGGCTACCGTCAAATATCCGCCGCCGAATGTCGGCGCCGTTGATTTGATCGATGCACCTCTAAATGGTGAAATCAACGTGACCATCAAATATCCACCACCGGTGTCGGCGATGTTGATTTGATCGATGCACCTCTGACTTCTAACCAAGAACGATCGTTACTACGGTTCGCACCTCTCCAAACTACGTTCGAACGAGGGTGTTTGAGTTTTGAGGAATCTACGCTACCGCTACTCCTATGGAGATTCCTGTGGAGAGCTCCGCGACTACGACTAAGGCTACAACTATGGAGATCCTTCCTAGAAGGAGAGCTCCGCGAAGGAGTTACAGAGAAAAGGTAAAGTTTTGACAGAGTTGTTCTGTGTTGATTTGGTTGTGCCCCTCTCTCTCCTTGCTCCGCTGCTTTTATTTGAAATCACTTGCGTAGTCTTCACGCCCTGTGGAACTGCTTCCTCAACCGCTCCGTTGTGAACTCCCACGTGTCTCAACCGTCTTGATCTCCTCCTCGCTCGGGTTGGTGTGAATCTCACGCGATGTCGTTTTCTTCCCCAAACAGTTCTGTTTGCTTTTTACTCCACGACATTGTTTTATATTAAATATTGTCGTTTGCTAATACAGCGGTACCGTTGGGCTTCCTCGCGGTACCGTTTTTAAATCCGCGGTGTTACCCATCCGCGATGCCGCTTGTCGCGGTGCCGTTTTTAGCCAAACGACACCGTTTCCCAGTCTCGCGATGCCGTTGAGCTTCGAGGTTCGCGGCACCGTTTTATCTCTTCGCAACATTGCTTGACTCCAACCGGTGCTGTTACTCTCCTCCTCCGACAAGGAATAATAAAATAAAAAACATTCCTTGTCCAACAGCAACACATGTCCTGCGCATGCCTTACACATGGTCTGCAACCAATGTCGTTTCAAGTACCGCGGCATCGTTGGGCCTACTCGCAGTACCGTTTTTAAATTCGCGGTACCGTTTTAATTCTCCGCGATGCCGCTTAATTCCAAACGACACCGTTTTTTACACGCGGTATCGAATTAAATGCCGAGACTCATCCATGCGGCATTTAATTTAGTCTAGATTATTTTAGGTGTAAACAATGCCCCCCACAACTTAGTTTATAAGAGCTAATTCTTATGAACTAAGTTGTTGACACAATTACTCCACCCAAAATAATTCCCAAACCATACTGGCCAAATCCAACTAACAACATGGCATTGTTCAATTGGCCTTGCAACGTGAATGGTCCCAACCAATGTTGATTTATCAAATCAATCTTTTTTAATATATGTTTGGACCATTTTCCATTCAAGATTGGATTTTCACAGCTGCTTCTGTAACTGCATTGCTTAATCTCTTTTCCTTCTTTTTTTTTTCCGGCCAACTTGGAAAATCCCAAACAATGTTGTATCTACTACAACGCTGTTTTCTACAGCAATGCTGGCAAAAAATTCCTCCCCTTTTAAATTCCTCAGCATTCGCAGCTCTGCTTGGACTCATGTCAGCACAACAACGATGTTTACCTTCTATTCCCCCTTTTTTTTTTTTTTTTTTGCGCAATCTTGCGGCCAAGTATTTGGCTAAATTGAAATCGACTCCAACACGATGAGGAATAAAAGCATAGTTTATTCTCCTTTTCCATTCTCGACCACAACATTGCTTCAAAGCCAACAACGTTGTTTCGCATCTAAATACTAGCCAGGCATGTGGCCTCGTCCAAACCCCAATTTTCACCAACGTGGCCATCCAAACGACATTATCCCTACCTAGCCAATTTGCAATGTTGCGGCCGCTTAATCAAAACACGGTGGATTTGTCCTCAAGTCGCAATGCTGCGAAGAGAAAAACAACCATGCGTGCTTTTTAACCATAAATTTTCTTTAAATATCATATTAATATAATATTAAACTCGACCAAATTGGATTTGCGTCCAGCAACAAGTACTGTTAAAACCTCAACAACCCAATCCTTTCCTTGTCTTTTCCTAGCTCCAACGCTGCAGAGGGCAATCGGGTTTAAGATCCACCAAAATTGGCGAAGACTTCATGGCCTGAAATAATTTATGCACACTTAAATTGGACATAGATTACTGCTTTGGTTTCTTTTCTTTTGGACAAAGAACCCAACACCATACAATGAACCATTCATTCGTCCAATTTGAATTACAAAGTCATTAAACTCTTCTTTAACTAATTCACCACATACACGATTGTGCGGCCATGCTTAGCCAAAAAACACAACAAAAAAAATTGATTCTCATCCTAGCTTTGGTGAACTCTGCAGGGCTGCTTGAACTGAGCGACATCGTTTTTTTTTATTACTATCAGGGCTGTTCAATTTCCGCCGCAACGCTGAGACCTTTTTTTTTTAAATTATTATCAGGGCTGTTTGGCCGCCACCCCTCTGCCCTTTTTTTTATGGCTGTTAGCCACAGCCGCAGCGATGAAAGGCTTTCTTTTTTTTTTTAATATTTTTATATATTTTTTCTCTTCAGGGTTGTTTGGCCGTCCTTCCCCCCTTTGTTTTTTTTTCCGCCAGGGCTGCTTGGCCACAACAGCCGCAATATGGCTTGGCCGAAACTGAGATAAATAATTTTTTTTTTCATCAGCGCTGTTTTGGCCGCCTTTCCTTTTTTATATATATATTTCTAACAAGCCCGCAGTAGCTCTTCAAGGCACAACGTTGTGGATCTTCTTCTTTGTTTCGAATCCTACAGCTCGATTTGGCCAAACCATGATGTTTATGGCCAATTGTGGATTTTTTGCAATGTTGCAGCGAGCTTACCAATGCCGCTTAATTTTTTTTTTTAATTTTTCCTTGATGTATTACATGGCATATATTAGCCATTTATTTCTTTGATAATAGAGAGCTAAAAAGAGTAGGTTAGATTTGTGCATGAACCATCATGCCAAAGGTCCACACCCACTGCCAACTCCACGGATCAAACCACACGAGCCATCCATAAATACCCTGATTCACCACAGTTGGCTTTACACACGTTGATTTTGATCTTTTGGAATCAATGTTGCCTTGCAACTCTCCAGTTCGTCTAGCTCGAACATCTTTGTTCGAAATTCCACGAGCTCGATTTGGCTTCACCTCATCCATCACTTTTGGTCGATGGCATGAAAAATCACTAGTGTTCTTTGCTCTCGACAAGACATTCACATTTGTTGGCATCTTCGTCTTGCCAAGTCGACCATGCGACATCGCTTGCCTAGACTGGTCTAGTTTTGTCAGCTTCGCACTCTCACCATGTTGTTGGTAGTATGAACGTCGAGACTTTTCATCAACAGGTACGTTGGTATTTTGCTTAGCACGAACATGACTTTTGCACCTATCACACAACAACGTTGCCCTTTTTAAAATTCCACGTGATTTTGGAGTTTGTTTGGCATTGGCCTTGCCCCCCAGACCACCACTCATGGCTTTGTTCCCAGCCAGCACTGGTGTAGCAACCCGATGTCGGGTTTGATTGAACTTGCCCCCCTGTCCACTCAGTGGAGGCTTTGGGGACAAATTACAATGAGGGTTCTGTTGATTCATGCCAACTCTTGCGGGATTGATTTTTTCCACGTGGTCACCACCTCCATCTTGAATAGTGTCTGTGGTGACCCTAGTTCGATTTTTCTCAAGACAGGGTGGATGTGGCAAACTTATTTGCCACTTACGCTGTTGTTTCTCCTTCAATCTACCACGAGCTGGGATGGCATGCCCCCCTAGTGGCTTAGATTGAACAATGTTGTAAAATTTGTCATCTTTCAAGATATCACACTTGTTATTCCTAATTTTCTGAAACTTATTATAAACACGTTTAAATTTTGTTCTTTTTTGTGGCTTTCGCAAGACAGCTCTAACTTTCCTGTCCTTCAAAACTATAGTGTTCACAGGAGAACCAACATAAGATTTGCTAGCCCCTAACGACACTGTTTTAGCCACAAGTTTAAGTGAATCCTTATTGGCAATGCCGGAAACATGTTCATCTATCATCTCAAAAAATTTATCCTTATGTCTTCCAAGAGAATCACAAGGCTTATTTAAAGAGATAAAATAGAGATTTACCTGCCGGTAGTACTCCTCTACAGATCGACGAAGAGACAGAAGTGCAACATGCCCATCGATGCTCGACATGGATTGGGGCCACTCCTTCATCCAACCGACATGTCTATCTGCCTCCTCTGCTCGGTCAACTTCAATGCCGACCACATGCTCCACCTTCAAAGATTCTTGTGAAAGATCAACGTTGTGTTTTCCATGCTGCAGAGCCATATTTCACTTCAACACACGTGTCCCACCGGGTGTGCCAAATTGTTTCCTCGGGAAAACCAAATGCCACCGCCGGTGCCGAATTCGGTTTCCGGCGATGTTGATTTGATGTTTCGCGGTGGAAACTCTTGCAGTGCCGTTTGATCGAATGCACCGCTGATTGTTGAAATCGAGGCTACCGTCAAATATCCGCCGCCGAATGTCGGCGCCGTTGATTTGATCGATGCACCTCTAAATGGTGAAATCAACGTGACCGTCAAATATCCACCACCGGTGTCGGCGATGTTGATTTGATCGATGCACCTCTGACTTCTAACCAAGAACGACCGTTACTACGGTTCGCACCTCTCCAAACTACGTTCGAACGAGGGTGTTTGAGTTTTGAGGAATCTACGCTACCGCTACTCCTATGGAGATTCCTGTGGAGAGCTCCGCGACTACGACTAAGGCTACAACTATGGAGATCCTTCCTAGAAGGAGAGCTCCGCGAAGGAGTTACAGAGAAAAGGTAAAGTTTTGACAGAGTTGTTCTGTGTTGATTTGGTTGTGCCCCTCTCTCTCCTTGCTCCGCTGCTTTTATTTGAAATCACTTGCGTAGTCTTCACGCCCTATGGAACTGCTTCCTCAACCGCTCCGTTGTGAACTCCCACGTGTCTCAACCGTCTTGATCTCCTCCTCGCTCGGGTTGGTGTGAATCTCACGCGATGTCGTTTTCTTCCCCAAACAGTTCTGTTTGCTTTTTACTCCACGACATTGTTTTATATTAAATATTGTCGTTTGCTAATACAGCGGTACCGTTTTTAAATCTGCGGTGTTACCCATCCGCGATGCCGCTTGTCGCGGTGCCGTTTTTAGCCAAACGACACCGTTTCCCAGTCTCGCGATGCCGTTGAGCTTCGAGGTTCGCGGCACCGTTTTATCTCTTCGCAACATTGCTTGACTCCAACCGGTGCTGTTACTCTCCTCCTCCGACAAGGAATAATAAAATAAAAAACATTCCTTGTCCAACAGCAACACATGTCCTGCGCATGCCTTACACATGGTCTGCAACCAATGTCGTTTCAAGTACCGCGGCATCGTTGGGCCTACTCGCAGTACCGTTTTTAAATTCGCGGTACCGTTTTAATTCTCCGCGATGCCGCTTAATTCCAAACGACACCGTTTTTTACACGCGATATCGAATTAAATGCCGAGACTCATCCATGCGGCATTTAATTTAGTCTAGATTATTTTAGGTGTAAACAGTTTTATTGTACATTCCTTGATAATAAGGGAAGAGATATGGTACCAAACCTACCACTACAAAACTACATCTATAACCATCCATTTTAATCACATCTAATGGTTCAAGATAATTTAAAAACAAATCAGAGAGACGGGCTGATAATTCCACTTTCTTTTTCTCTGATAGTTTGACATGGATCCAAAGAAGACACTTTTTATAATCTTTTATTTTCTTAGCCAGATCTTATAGCATTCTTTTAAACTGAAAATTCAAAAAAAATTTACATAGAAAAAACACATTAAGTATGATCTACACAATGATATTTATATTTTGAGCAACGAAGAAATTAACTCTTCAAAACTCGTGTTGATTGTAGTATTATCACTGTCATGCCTATCAAATTATCATGATCTGCCAATGGTATATATAAGAGTTACGCTTGAGTATACTATAATATCCCATGCCGTAATTATAATATCCCATGCCGTAATTTGCATGGATTTGGTTAATCATATTGAACATAATGGGTGGCAATTATCCAAATTCATATAATAGCCCATGCCGTAATTTTAACACTTTTATGCAAAAAAATTTAATTTTAGGTTCTAAACTTTTTAATATAATAATTTAGGTGCCAAAATGTATATATATATGATTACAAACCCAAATCTTTTATTAAAAATTTGAATCAACCCCAACAAATGGATATGAATATAAACTATCAAACTATATCAATTTACTTTGTATTTGAGTTTCACCTCGTTTGAATAATTTACTAAATAGTAAATACTCATTATTTGGGAAGATCATCCCTACTGATTTAGTTCCTTGATATGAAAAAACATCACAACCAACCCCACACAATTATTAGTCATACTGCTAATGGTCAATTAAGTAGAGTAATAGGTTTTGTCTTTCTAACTGAGCTTAACAAAAGTGGAATGGGAAGGGGTTCTGGAGAAAGTTTCCTTCCATGCACACATTCCATCCAGTTAAGTAGGAGCGGATCCAGTCAATAACCTTCTGGTCAATAACTATGTATAACTCAATCAGAATCCGCCACATCACCGCCCCTTCTCTCTCCTGAAAAGAATTTAATTTCCCCCACTTAATCTTTACACGATTTCTCACTCGTTTTAAGTCGAATTTTTTTTGCCTGTTAGATCATATTAATTGTGCTCCTCAAAATGATATCCACTTTGATATATATTTGGGACAAAAAAAATTGAGCCATTTTTTACTAGCCTATACCATATGGTATTGGCTAGTATTGAAATAAGAGCATACCTATGGTATGAAAAGCGTACCATGGTGGTATGAACAAACCAAGACTTTAGGATGGTTGAATACATGACAATAGAAGTATATTAATTGTCTCATTTACGACTTTTAACATTGTGTTCCACAAGATACCACCTCGTACTAGGGTGGTATTGTGTGGTATTTTTTGGTCCTGTATTTTGTTCACCCAGAAATTTGTAGATCCAATAGATCATGATGAGCTTGTTACTTCTGTGCAAAATTTTCAAAAACGAATTAAAAACGAAGAAGATACCATATGGTGCAGTTGGTACCGAGAGGCACGAAATTTTTTTCTTAAAAAAGTATTAAAAATGGATCTTATTTTGTAGAGCACAACGAACTCATTCCATCTGTGCAAAAAAAAAAAATTGAAATCTGAGTTAAAACGAAGAAGATATTTGTCGATTAAGAAAACAAGGAAAAATAAAAATTTCTTTAATTCTCCACTCTTAGATCTGGATTTTCTGAATGAAGAGTTCATATTTAGTTACTGATGGATGGTTATGCACCCTATCTTGAGACCAGTTAAGTTGATCTTAAGAAGCCCAAAATCAATAAACACACAGGCTCGGCCCTAATTGAATGATCTGTCTTTATTACGAAAGTATCCTTCCATACTATGCGCACAACACATCAAATATAGAACGAGAATGGTTCTGGAGGAGAACCTTCTTATATGCTTGGAAGGATGAGTAGTCACAATTCAGCTGTAACTTTGTTGGTGGTCACAGTCCATTTTTAACAGCAAGTGAGTTGCGGTTGCACTATGGACCAACCACAGTCTTAGGTTGCTCCATGGATCAACCGCAAATTGCCTTAGGTTGAGCATTTTTTTGGAAATTTTGGTTTATAACAATATTTTTCTATTTTTACTATAGTTTATGGTTTGTTCCATATGATAATTTGTTGAATTTTGGTTTATATCATTTTCTAGATTTGGGTAAGGAAGAATGGTTGGGGGTTGTTTGGTATGAGCAAAATTTGAAATTCAATTAGGGGTATATACGTAATTTATGTATTAAAGTTAGAGTGACCGTTAGCAATTTTAGGGCGACCTTTAGCGATTCAACAATTTTTTCTCCCGCCAACCCTTGAATGCCAATCCAACTTGGCCCTCTCTCCTTAGTGATTTCCATCAACCCCATTTTTATCCCTAGTCTAACACAATTCAAACTAGCTCCTCTATGGCTATTTTCATCTGCTACCTCTCCTCCATCTCCAATCGTCGCAGGGTGCAGACCCTCCCTTACTCATCTTTCATCAATTTCTTCCTTCCAATTGATCTAGTGGCCTATTTCCCGAATCGCAACCACAACAACAAATGGAGTGAGAAGTTGGAGGTAGAGATGATGGCACTCTCAACGGCCGCACCACCGAGCTCATATGGCCGCACTGCCACCGCCCCGACCCACAAGCTTGTTACGAGCATTACACGACGACGATCTGCTATGAGGGAGAGGTTAAGATCGGTTTGCATGTATCCATTTCTCAAATGGTGAACGCGTGAACACAGATTGAAGAGGGAACAAAGATCGACTAGTGGTGTGGTTGTGGTTCAGGAGTCTGGTCAAGCACATTCCGAATTGAGACTTTTTTGGTTTGAAACAAACCAAATCGAAATCAAGTTTGGTTGAAATTTGGCTCAAAAGGCAAAGGCCTTTAGGTGTCGGTTTTGTTCGGGTTTGGTTTGGTTTGACCAAACCGATTGAATGCCCACCCTACTATTTTGGGTTCGTATACAGACAACAATGAATTCTTTTATATGTAAAATTTGGGCACGCTTTATTGTCTAAAATTGTAACTACTAACTACTATTTCATTATCTGTCGTTTGCTGAAGTTGGTTTTGTGTTCTTCTCTCTACCAGCTCCCACGATGACTTCGTATCTTCTACCGGGATCCCACCGCTTTGACTCAGTCAAATCATTGTCATCCTCGCCTTCCTCCTGCAACCCAGACTCGACAGAATCTTTTCACGTCCTTTTCGTACGTCTGCCGCATGTGGCATTACCTTCATATTCACCTCTTTCCTGGGGGGACCTTTCTTTTCTCCATAGTAGGCCACTCCGCTTATGTTGGACACGCTACTTCTCATAAATTGCATGACTCTTTACTCCCCTCAATTAGTGGAGGATCAACCTCTTCCATTTTTCTCATCTCTAATTTGTCTCCACACTCTTCGTCGCTTTTGTTTTTGTTTATTCTCACATGACGTAGCCGACGATACAACTCAATCTCTCTTCCACACTCACCTCTCTTTCTTACCTCGTGACTCTGAACCACATCTTCCTTTTGAAGGTGACATGGATGGACAAGGCTCCCGTCCTCAAATTGCGCCT